GTAAGAGGAGAGCGTATAGGACCAAGGTGACAGCTGAGATGGCAACAAGCATCCACCTGACCAAGAGAGAAATATTTCGTCTGAGGGAAAGAAATAACCAAATTAAGCCTTTGTGGTTCTGCTCGGCTGCCGTTACATCCAAGCGTGGTTTAGACCGAGGTTTGCTGGTACAGTGTTTAGTCTTTGCTTTTTGTCTTTAATGCAATGAGCCCAAAAATCCGGGGCTTCATTTCCAAAAATGCCTACTGCTCCTTGCACTTCACTTTTGGGTGCCTATCTTAAGAAGGGTTTTTGAAAGGCTCCCCACACTCCGCTGCTGCTCCTGGACCCCCAGCACAGCACCCCCACAGCCAGAGCCTGGCCAAGCGAGCAGGGTAGTGCCCCATAGCAGTGGTTATCCTTCCACCAGAGCATTCCTCCTGCTGCCAGAGGGTCCCCCATAGCAATCCTTCCACCAGAGTGTTACCCCCACTGCCGGAGGGTCCCCCATAGCAGTCCTTCCACCAGAGCATTCCCCCCGCTGCCGGGGGGCTGCCAGCAGCTCTTGACCCGGGGGGTGCTGTACTCACCACTCACAAGTGCTCATCCTCCCTGCCAGGCGTCTCGGCGGTGGGTGGGCTGCCCGGTGAAGCGTTGGAGGTCTCGGGAGGGCCCAGAGGGCGGCAGCTAGCCCTGGTAGCAATCAACCCAAAATGGTCCCTTTGAGCTTCACGCGGCTGCACACCAACCGAAGGTCAGGCTCGCACCCTGGAAGCAGCCGTCTGGCATCGCAGACGCAAAAGAAAGGCACCAGCCATCCCCCTGCGAGAGGCTCTCACTGGAGGTGCGATTCCCTCTTGTGTTCACCCCCTACTCGGCCACAAACCCCCCACCATTATCATCCAGCTTAACGGCTCTCTAGGCTGCCGCCTCAGCCACATCTGGAACTTCTGGGCTCCACCGCGGCACTGGTGGTAATGGCAACTGAAATTCATTCTTCTTCCTTTACTCCGCTCTCCCCTTTATTTGTATTTTTTAATTAAAAAAAAATATTTGATAACCATAATCTGGAAAAAAAAAAAAGACCCATTGGAGAAAGCACCCGAAAGGAGAGCACGGGTTTGGTGTCGAGCTCCTGCCTCAACTGATATTCGGTCGGAAAGGTCGGGGACCCTTCGACCCCTCTGCATTCGACACGCGGCCCATTTAGTTTTAGGGGAGCGCGTAAGCCCTGTTGAAGTGAAGCGCCCTTGAGGCACATAATTAGAAAACTCATACGCCTGAACCGGGCCCCTCGGCTTGGGACTTCCGGCCATAATATTGAAGAGGTTTTGAATAAAGCACGGCGATCGGGGGCGTTCGCTTGCGAAAAAGCACTTGACATCTTCAGTCAATTCCTATAGAGTTATTGCTCATAAATGGCTACTACAGGGAGGTATCTTCAAGTAAAGCTTTGATATGATGATTAAAGGAGCCATAATAATACGATTGATAGACTGAGAGATAAATTGATAGTTAGAGCAAAGGCATTATCCATCCTATGGATCAGATTCCATAATTTCCTCTATGACACATTTCTAAGAGTCGCTCATCAAAAGCTTTCCCAACAACCTTACCCATCTCCTGTGAAATTCCACTTACCCAAATAGTTTGGGAACTGCCAAGGTAAATCTCTTGCTGGAATTTTTCCCCTCCCTTATTGAACTGATCTCTCCCCAAATATCCTGCTCAACTGGCTGTCATTCTTAAATGGCTCATTTCCTATTGTGGGGCAGGAGATGCTGCTGCAGCAGATAACAATCTGAAAAAAATGAGCTGTTCAAAAGGAAATTGCAAAATGAGACCCAAATCCAAATATCAGTAGCAGGCAGCTTCTTTGCTGAGATGGGGTACGGCGAGATTGAAGCGGCGATACGCATATGCGTCTTGAAATAATCTATTTTGAAGATAACAGCTAGTAAGAAGGCAGGCAGCACATGTACTTTTTTGGTGTATCAGGTAACTTGCTGAGCCTCGCTCCCTCCAGCCCCCACGATATTAAATTAACCCTTTCTCAAGCAAGATCCCCTAGTGAAACCAAGGCTTGTAAAGAGCTCCTACACGCTGGTTGCCGAGTAGTGAATTCAAGGCGTCTGCGCCCAACCTAAAGGTAAGCAAAACCCCGGGAATGCCTCGAGCTATTTCAATCCCACTTGAGCCAGGCCTTGCTGCATCCCTCGGACACAAACACCAGACCCAGCTCTCACCCCAACCCACGACGGCATCGCAGGCAGCGGCCGGCGGAGTGCAATATCCCGTAGCGTTTTACCTGGGGCACCAGAGCTTTCCGCACCTTCCCTTTCCCGCGGGACTGGGGCAGCCGGGGCCTTGGAGGGAGCAGGAATTAAGGGCGTTCCGGCAGCATTTTCGGCAGTGGCGCAGCTGCAGGCGTCCAGCCGTGCAGAAGCTCGCCAGCTCGGTGGCGGATGCGGTCTCGCTCTACCCTCATGGCGATGCAGGAACGAGCCCACACGAGGTTCCATGACGCTTCCCCTCCCTCAACTGGCTCATTTAAATATATTTGGGTGTTTCTCTGCTGGTCTACGGATGCTTCTTGTGCTCCAGGGCTGGGGACGTTGTACCCCCTTGGGCAGTTCTCCCCCTTGCTCCATCCTCCAGCAGCTTTGTGCTAAAACGCAGCTGAGATTTGGGGGAGCAAAGTGGTCCCCGAGGGCAGAGAGCTCTGCCTAGCAGCAGTGGAGCTGGCTCAGTCCTGAGGGATTCAGCTGCCACCCAAAAAATGCTCTGAGTGCTTCCAAGTACAAATCTTCCATAGGGGTAAAACCTTTTCAATCATAAGGGACGGGGGCCCAGCGCCTGCCGCGGTTTGGTGTCTGCTGGAGGGGTGAATGGGCCTCCACCTGCCCATCTTCTGGAAAATAAAGGGTTTCTGGTCAGTAGTAACTTGCACCATCACTTACTAACAGCGGGTACAAGCAGCAGACGAGCAGAGCCACTCTCGTCAGTTCGCAGCAGATTTGGGGAGCGCTGGGCCACTGCTCCGTCGGACGTGAAACAGCGTTTTGGTGCTGGAGATACGCTGCAGCAGCTCCATCTCTCCTGGGCTGCTTCCCTGGCAGGAGACAGGCTGAGACCCCTTCTCAGGGGTCCCTGACTCACAGGGCAGTGCCTGCTGGCGTTTAAACATCCCCGTCAGCAATATTCAAACATCTCCATAGCAATCCTCTCCCGTGGAGATAACTCCCCAGCATCTCAGTGAATCCCCCTGGGCTTTCTACAGGCAAAGACAAGCTGGGCTTGAGCAACTCCACGTCCCCCCAGACGCCAAGTGCCATTGGAGTTTGTCCCCAGGAGCTGCATCGCAAGTTGGGGTCCCCGGCCAGGTCCCTGCCAGTCGCTGCCCACATCCCCCTCCGTTGCCTGGGACCATCGGGACCACCAGCGCCGTCACGCTGGATCTGAGTGCTGCTTTACCCACGGCTTCTGTGCCATGGGTAAATATTTCACTGAAGCTTGTTTTTATTTGGTTTTTCTTACAGAGAGTGTTTGCTCTTGCAGGGTTTCACGCTTTGAAGTGCTCGATGATGCATAAACAGATTAACAGGTGGAAAAATTATTTGATGAAAAGAAAAAAGGCTTTTCAGAAAACGCTGTTGGGGTGCGATTTGAATCAGTGGAAGCGGCTAAACTAAAGGAAATATCAAAAAAGAACAGATCACGTATTTTTAGCCTGAAAGCAGGTTTCCTAAAATGAGTGCCATATGCCGAGAGGCATATTTTCTGCACAAGGTGCGTAACCTATTTCTGACGGATCCGAGGGCAAATGCGTGAAGCTGGACGGGGTAAGATACACCTTGTGACAGCTGCTGCCTGAAGTGATGCAGGATTATATATAGGCCAGACCTAACTTATAAGACCTGGGGTGTTCCGGGAGCTGGCAGTCACATTTCATTACATTTCTACTGAATATGAACACTTTTTCTGCTGTTTCATTAACAAGACGGATTCCAAGGCCCCCAGTCCTATAAACAATTCTGTGTGTTTGGCTCTGTCAGCATGAGGTGCCGTAAAGGCAGTGTGGGAGCCCCGGGCAGACGAGCAGCACTACGGCTGATCCCTGCCAAGGCGAGGGGCAGCGTGCATCGAAAATGATGCCGCTCTCCAGTCTGTACGCAGTGAATCTCTAACCCTGACGTACAGCTGAAA